TTTTTTGAGGTTTTGTTATAATTATACCATCTTCTATAATTTTGCGGACATGTGTTTTTGCTTTATTTCGTTTTTCTAAGTTCAAAAAGTATTTGGTACACTTTTCACCTTCTTCGTACCATCTGCATCTTGATCTAAGCATAATACCTTCCATTACATTCTTACTATATGTGTTCAATTCGCCCTTTAACTCATCATGCTTAGCTAGTGCGTCATTATCCTTCTCCCAATCACTTTTTTCTTCGATCTCTTTAATTTTTCTCTCAATTTCAGCATATTCCGAGCGCTTTCTTTTTGCTATAGCTTTAGAGAAGTTGATCGTTACTTTACGTATTTCATATTTAATAATTTCCCAGAATGTGTTTGGATTAACTGTTTGCCCTGTACAATTTTCGCTTACAGAGTTATCTATCAATTCATTTACCAGCTTTATATAATTCTCATGTTGTAACAGCGAGTTATTGAACTTCCACAGAGAGGGGCCCTTTGACTTTCTTCTAGAGATATTAATTTTAACGTTACTGCAGAGTAGTCAGTACCAGGTGCTATAATAATTTCAGATTTTTCAATAGAAGGTTGCAAAGTATTCGAAATTAAAAAGTAGTCAAGTCGTCTGAATAACCTACTGTATTTTGAATATTCTCTATTTGGTGGATTTTATATATCACAAAAACTATTTCATATGGAAAGCTCAAAATTGCGAGGAAAGCTTTTCTTATTTCATTTCAATATTCAGTGCTGATTTACTGAAATAGGTTAAAACATGAAATGCTGCTAATGAACAAAAAAATTAACAAATTAATCACCACATATTGTATTCATGTCTGCAACTTTTGATCTGTTTATTGTCAAATATCACTTGGTTTAATATGGTGTATTAAAGATTTTATTCATCATATGATTAACGTCAAATATCACTTAGTTTAATACAGTGTATTAAAGATTTTATTCATCATATAATTAACTCCTTGAAATTTATGTAATATATTATTTGTGTCCGACCTTTATGTATAGTTTAAAACACGATCTCGAGTGTTTTAAATGGCTTAATGCACCATTGGTGAACAGATAATTTATATTTTCAGACAACTTTCAAAGGAAGAGTGTTCATGACTCATGCTACAAAAGCAATCTACAGGTTTGTACAAGCTGTACAGTACATGTAGTTCATTTTATATGTAAAACTAGTGAACTCTTTCAACACCAGGCTGAAACATACAATGTCTTGAGCACTGGCTAATTTTGTTGTCATAATTTTGAATCATTTTGGTGTAAAGCAGTAAATGCTATGTGTTCAGCATGAAGCCTCCATATATGGGTTGTAAATTGATGGAACAGTGCATGACCTTCCAAACATTAAATGTAAAAGATTTTCAAAATACATATTTTTCAGCAAACTTTGTATTCTGAGTAGTGAATTTGCCTCTGAGATCAAATGTTTTTACAACACATAATTTATTTGTAAAGGCTTGTTTACTCTTGCGATTTTTTCAGCATGATTACAGGGATGTCAATAGAAGCCGGCAACCGGCGAATTCCGCCGTCTATTTTCGTTTTCTGAGCCGCCTACTTTTGCCATTATCATGTTTAAATTGTACCTCTTAATGTAGAATCTATATATTTTACCAAAACGTGTTGAAAAAGTCAACATTTTCCCTCAATTTTGATTGTTAT